CCCACAGCCACTCGCTGCACCCCGAGCCTGATGCGCCCCGAAGTGTCACAACCACTGCCCACTTACTTTTGAGTCCGGGGTTGGGGGTTTTCTCCACGTACTGCACGGGGCCGCAGGCGCTCTCCCCGCTCCGGCTGCCGTCCAGCTGCTGCTCTACCTGCTGCCAGGCTGGGGAGGGGGAACAAGTGCTGGGTGGGTTTGGGACGGGGTTTCCAGGGTGGGGGGCTGCTGGACAGGAGCAGGAGGCGGAGCAAAGGAGGGCAAGTCCCCAGGCTGAGGATTCCTTGCCTGCCACCCATGTCCCCAGCATGGTGTAGGTGCTGGGGAGGGGCTCCATCTGCTCCAGCTCCCCTGGGTGCTGCCCCAGGGACCCTCTGCCCTCACCTTCATAGACAAAGCGGACGTTCTCCTCGTGGGCCAGGGTGTAACATTCTTCAGGGGCTGAGACCTGCTGCAGCAGCAGTGGGGGCCTCTTGCCATTCACTCTGTTGAAGACGAGTTTCTGCGCTGGGCTGTGGAGGGAGGGAAGACAAGGGGCGGGGGGGTGAGGGCACAGGCAGCTCTGCTCACCCCAGCAAGAACTGGGGCAGTTCAGGTGTCCTGGGCTGCCCCACCGTGCACACGCTTGCCCACAGCTGCAGTCACCCAGCCCCGTCCCCAAGGAACTGGGATGGAAAGGGACCCAGCCCCCAGGGACAGGGGATTCCGACACAGGAGGGGTGCAAGGGGAGCTCCCTGGGGAAAAGCACCAGCTTCCCATCTTCCACCCATCCTCCAATCTAGCACCAAGTGCAGTCCCTAAGATAAAGAATCTGCCACAAAAATTGCAGGAATATCACGAAATGGAAGTGAAATCCAGAAAGGTACTGGACAGGGGATGTGCCATCCTCTGCACATCAAGCACCCAGGTTCACTGGAACAGCTCTGGCCCCAGCATGGGGCACACAAGGTGCCCTGGGACTGGGATGTTATGCTCTGAAAAGTGGGAGCAGGTTAGGCTTCCTCAGAGCTGGGATCCCCTCCCGTGAAGGGCACTTCAACCACTCCCTACCTGGATGCAGTAACACCCACCAGAGCTAAAGGCAAGACTTAGGACAAGACCTGGGAGCATGTTCAATGCAAACTCCAGTATTTTGGCTTTTCTACCCAGCTCTAGGGCAGGACACGTTTGCAACAGCCACGTTCCTCACGGGGCAAAGTCTAAGGGGCCCTAGGAGTGGGTTTGGAGGGCAGGAAAGACTGGGAGCAGGCAACTCCTGCAGATCTGCAGGCAGGGGCTGGGGAGAGCAGTGACCCTCAAGACCCCACAGCCAGGGGCACTGGGCAGGCAGGAGGAGGGCAAGTGTGGCAGAAGCCACTCCAGTGAATTCCAGGGATCCTGGGAAGGAGAGGAACTGGGTGGGTAGGGGGGAGCTCATCCCTTTCTTGGAGCTGGAGAGGACGTGCAGAACCAGTGGGGTCCCACTACCCTGCCTGGGTGTGTTGTGACTCCAGCCCTCCAGTCGAGAAAGGGTCTCCCTAGGGATCCCATCACCACCTCCCAGCCACTGGAATACCCCGCAGCACCCCGCCAACAGCTCCAGGTATTGCTGCGGGACACTGGTATTCACCAGGAAGTGTCACCCCGGCTTTTGGGGCAGAGGGGAACCGCAGCTCCGCGTGGGCTCCGCGGCCCCCGCGGGTGCGCGGCGCGGCCAAGGCGGGCGGGACCGGCGCTGGCCCCGCCGCCCGGTTCGTGCAATCGGGGCCGTCCGCGGAGGGGCTGGGCAAGCCCGGCCCCGGCTCTGGCCCGCACCGGGACCCCCCCACACTCCCTCCTTGGCGTGACCCCACCGCTCCCACTCCCCATGGTTTTTGGGGATGTCCCGTGGAAAGGAGGAGAGGCAGCCACTCCGGCGTGTCCCCGACGCGGGGCGGCCCACGGCACGCGTGCACAGAGCTCCGCGGGACGCGTGCGGGCACAAGCACCGCTGAGACCCCCGGGGCGAGCGGCACCGAGCGGAGACCCCGGCTCCCCCTCCCGCGTCCCGCCAGGCGGCCCAGCCGTCCCGTTCCCCTTCCCAAGGTCACGCCCGGCCGCCCCAGGGCCGGTCCCCTTCCCAAGGTCACGGCGGCGCGAGGCTCACCTGGCGGGGGGCCACTGCCCGGGCTGGGGTCGCCCCCGCAGCTCGCCCAGTTTGCTGCTCTCCACCGCCTGCTGCGTGGGACCTGCGGGGAGCGCGGGGCGTCAGGGGGCGGCGAGGGCGGCACGGAGCCCCGCGCCCCCGGCCCCGCGCCCCCCGCTACCTGTGCGGCGCTGCGTGGCGAGCTTGCTGGGGCCGCGCGTCAGCGTGTACATCCTGCGGGCCCCGGCCCACGGCCCCGCCGCCCCTCTCGAGTGCCGCAAGTGCCCCTCGCCGGGGCCTTAGGCGGGCAGGGCCGGGCGGCCCCCCCAGCTCCGACACGCCCCCGCGCTTAAAGGGAACGCGCGGACGGCGGGGGGGACGCGCGGAGACAGCGCCCAGCCGCTCGGGGGACGCGGGGGACACGAGCGGGACAGGTCGGGGGGACACGTGGGAGGCGTGCCGGGACACATGCGACACATATGTGCTGTGCGAACAGACATGTCTGGGTTGTGGGGACACATAGGGGACACGCACGGGATACATCGGGGGCGCGCGTGGGGATTAATGGGGACACTCGGAATGCAGGCACACACGCTGGAGACAAGCAGGGCACATGCTGGGAGCGCATGTGGGACTTTCATGGGACACAGAGAGGACATGTGGGACGTGGGAGACACAGGACTCGCACAGTACACACAGAATGCACAGAAGGGACATTGGACCATGCGGGGCTGAAGTAGGGGAGAGGGCACAGCAGGCACGTGGGACACAAGATGTCACAGGCGCGCAGGGGACACGGCAGTCACGGGAAACTTAGAGGGGACCTGCACGGGGACATTCAGGAGACAGGACACTGGAGCCACGGCACACACAGGGGACAGAGAGGGGTCATTCCTGGGACACAGAGGACCCAGGCAGGGGAAAATGAAGGGGTGCAGAGGCAGGGGCTGAGGTGCCACCCCCACGGGGACAGCGCTGTGAACAGCCCTGAGCTGCACATTCCATGGGCCAGCGCAGGGAGCCGGGGTGGGCAGCCGCGTCCCGGCCAGCACGGTGACCTTCGGTGTGGGAGGTCCCGCTAAGGTGTCCCCACGTGGCAGGAGGTGCAGACCCAGGACACAACCCCGAGCCGGTCCCCGGCTACCCCCCTGTGTCCACCGGCCGCCCCTGCGGCTGGCGACAGCACCCAGAGTTTTGGGGAGAGATCCAGTGACAAACGCACTGGGGTCTTTGGGAGGCTCCAGGGGCTGCAAAGCCACCCCACGAGGGTGACCTTTGCCTTTCCGCCACGTTGCCCCGGTAGTGGCTAAGGAGGGAGGGCTGTAGGAGGGTACCTCCCATAAAAGCCCAGCAGCGCCTGACTGTGATGGGTGGACCTTTTGCGGGTGTGCATCCACTGCTGTCACCCCCACCCCTGTTACTGTGCCTAAATACAACCCAGAGCCACGGGATATCACCACTGGCTGTCACCCGCCCTGTAACGTGCTGGAGGCTGTGCCTCAGTTTCCCCCGGACCTGCCAGGGGTTTCTAAGCGCCTGTTGGCGCATCCCTGAGCTTTTCCATGCTCGAAAGGGCTGAACCCCTAATCCTCGTGCTCCAGATGGATCCCTCCGGACCTCCATCATCAGCGACAGCTGTCGAGGAAAAGGTGGGTGGGGGTCGCCCCTCGCCCCCGTTTTCCTGAGGTGTCCGCGCAAAGCTTCATGTGCCCCTTTTAGGGGGTGCCGGTGCGTGGCGGGGGAGCGGCAGCACCGGGACCGAGGGTGGGGGTCGGGCCCCGCGGGGCGCTAGGTGTGAGGGGCGGCGGGGGCGATGTTTTTTCAGACGCGCCGCTGGTGTAGTGGTATCATGCAAGATTCCCATTCTTGCGACCCGGGTTCGATTCCCGGGCGGCGCAGTTTTCTTTTTCCCTCCCCTCCGCCTTTTCCCTCCGCGCCGTGCCGAGCTCCACCCGCGGCGCGGGGCGGTCCCGGCGGTGCTGGGAGCTGTAGTTCCCCGCCATGGAGGTCCCGGCGGCCGCGGAGCGGAACAAGGGCCCGATCCTGGCGGTGCTGCGGGAGTACGCGGCGCCGGGCGCGGCGCCGGGCGCGCTGCGGGTGCTGGAGGTGGGCGCGGGCGCGGGGCTCCACGCCGCGCACTTCGCGCGGGCGCTGCCGCAGACGCGCTGGCAGCCCTCGGACATCGACCCCCGGGCGCTGCGCAGGTGAGCGGGGCCGGGGGTCCCGGGGGGACGGGGGACTCCGGTGGACCCCGGGGGCACGGCCTGCAGCCCCCTCCCACGGGCCCATGGACACGCAGCCCCGGTTCCCCGCTCCCCATTTTATTTTTTTTCTTTATTTAGATTATTTCCTTTGGGGATTTTGGGAAAACCGCAGTATCCAACTCTCCTGCAGCCCTGCAGTGCTTTGCTCCCTCCAGGAAAGCCCCAATATCCACCTTCTGGATGAACTGGATATGTATTTTTTCCCAGAAAAGACCCACTCAACAGTGGGCCCAGGCTCCACAATGTTTTTCTTTTTTCAGGAAAAAACCCAATAGCCAAGTCTCCAGCGGTCAAGGCAGTACTGTATTCTTTCCAGGAAAACCCCAATATCCTTCTCTCAGATGAGCTTAATGTGTATTTTTTCCCAGCAAAAACCCCCTTGGACAGCCTAGGCTTTCTGGCTTGATGCTTTATTTTTTCCAGGCAAACCACAATATTCAACTCTTGCCCAGCCCAGGCTCCCCAGGCCAATACTCACTATATTTTTTTTCAATAAATCCCCAATATCCAACTCCCAAGTAACCATGCTCCCCAGCTCAGGACTTTATTTTTCCCAGAAAACTCCCAAAATCCAGCTTTCCACCACAATTAAAACCGCCTTTCCCCCCAAAAAAAAAAAAAAAAAAAAAAAAAAAAAAAAAAAAAAAAAAAGCGCCTGGTGGGGATGTGCTGAAAGCAGCCCCTGTCCAGGAGGAGTTTTGTGCTGCCCACCCAGCAGCACCCACCACCTTGGGTAAAAATAATCCTCAGGCTGGCAGGCTGCAGGAGCTGAGACCTAGGTGGTGAATGTGCCAAAAAGGGTGTAAATAACACAAAAATCAGGAGGTGCTGGTGCAGTGGTGCCAGTGGGGTTCCCCACAAGGGGAGAGTGCTCCAAAACTGGGCAGGTTTGGCCCTGAGGCCTCTGCATCCACATGCTGCTGGTTGTCCAGGTGCTTCCAGTTCTGCAGCTGGAAGCAAAGGGCTGGGCAAGGAGCCCCCAGGCTGTGCTGCACCACATCCCTTTGTGGGTATTTTTCCACTTCTGGGAGTCCATGCAGCGCTTTGTCCCTGCCTGCCGCGGCTGCTGGGGGCTGCAGGGGGACCCGTCTGGGCTTGAGCTGGGGTTTGGTGCCCACAGCATCGCTGCCTACGTGGAGGCCACGGGGTTGCCCAACCTGCTGCCCCCCATCCTGCTGGACGTGTCACAGGGCTGGGAGAGCTGGGGGGACACCCAGCCCGCCACCCTGGACCTCCTCGTCAGCATCAACATGATGCACATCGCAGAGCTGCGGTGCACCCAGGTGAGCAGCCTCGACAGCCCCTGTCCCCTGCCAGGGCCGAGGGGGGCTCTGGCCCCGTGACCCGGTCCCCACCTCTCTCGTTCCTCAGGGCCTCTTCAAGGGTGCCGGGGTGCTGCTCAAGCCTGGAGGTGTGCTCTTCACCTATGGGGTGGGTCACCTGTCCTGGTGCAGGAGCATCCTGGGGGGTGCAGGGTGTCAGAGCAGATACTGGGGGGCAGTGGGAGGGCAGCTCCAGCCATGGCTTAGGGAGGGAGCTGGGAAATGCAGGGGCTTGGCTTTTGGGGGGTCTCTGCCTTTTGGGGCACATGCTGAGCCCTGAAAGGGGCGGTTTTGGAGGAGACAGATCCTGTCCTCCCTCACCTTATCCAAAGCAGGGTCTGGGGGTGCCTGCAGAGGGTGACAGGACTCACAGTGGGTGACAGGACTCCCTGGGGGCCATGTCTCTTCCCACTTGGCTTCTCTGCTTCGTGGGGACAGCAGCCCGTGGAAAGGGGGCTGGGGTGCACAGGGTGGCTCCTGCCTGCAGCTCCAGCTGTGTCCCACCAGCCCTACGCCGTGGATGGCCAGATCAGCCCCCAGAGCAACGTGGACTTCGACCGCAGCCTGAGGCAGAGGTAGGAGGGGGCTGGGGCGCTCAGGCTCCTGGGGGCCCATCCTGTCCTCTCTGTCCCGCCCCTGCAGCTGCAGGAAGCTCCCTCCCAGCGTGGTCCTTCAAGATAAGCCAGGCCTGAGGGCAGCCCCCCGGGGGATGGGGCTGCTTTGGGTGTCCCCGTGGGTGACCCACGCCTCCCTCCCCGCAGAAATCCCGCCTGGGGACTGCGGGACACGGCCCTGCTGCGGGAGCTGGCCGAGGCCAACGGGCTGTGCCTGGAGAGGATGGTAGGTGATGGGCCCGGGGGGCTGCCCGTGCCCGCGTGCACCCTGAGCCCGGCTCTGTGCTTCCAGGTGGACATGCCGGCCAACAACAAGAGCCTGATCTTCCGCAAGCTGTAACCTGCCCTGACAGCACTTCCAGCGCCTCCCGCCACTGCTGTCCCCACTGATGCCTCCTGCAGGGTGTCACTGTCCCACCGTGGCTGCCACTGGGGCTGGGGACAGCACTGATGGGACACAGCCCCACTCACACAGCTGGGGCTGACTCGGCTGGGCAGGATCCATCTCCCCTTGTGCCTTTGGGGTTCCCTTTGCAGTGGGGTGCCCCAGCCTGGACCACAAGAGCCAGCAGAGATGCCATGGGGGGCACAGGTGTAGGGGGGGGACACAACACCCCTGGGCATGGGGGAGACTCCCTGCTCCATTTCCTCAGAGGATGCTGTGCTGATGGTGTCCCCCTTCCCCCCCTCCCCAGGATTGTGCTGCTGCCCCCCTAATAAACTCTGTGGCTTTGCCCCCCCACACCCCAGCAGCTCCCTGATGTTTTCAGCACAAACACTGGGGTTAAGGGTGTCCCCAGTTCCACCTCCAGCACCAATGAAAGGGTCAGGTCCAGCACCCAGGGGTGTTACACTGGGCCCAGAGGCTTTGGTGAAGTGGGAAGATTTTATGAGTGGGGTGGTCCCGGCAGATCTCCCACCCCTCTGCAACCCAACCCAGTTCTCTATTGCTCCTGGACAGTCTTGGGGTGGGGGTGGGATCACACGGTGGGGGGAACATGTGGCAGATAAATTACAGTGGAGGTGGGAGTTGGTATGGGGCTCAGTATGGGGGTGGGGAGAACGACATGACAGTGGTAGCCTCTGGACACAGGCGCTGGTGCAGGGGCTCCCTCAGGCTGTCCCCTCCGGGCTGTGTCTGCAGCTTCCCCCGTCGGCACATCCTGACTCTCCCCTAGTCCTGGAAACGGTTCAGGAGGTCGCAGGTTTTCTTCTCCATCAGCTCATAGATCTTCTTCACCCGTTTGTCGTTGGCTGCCCGGACATAGCTGCTGGGGTCCAGCGTGGCCATTCCATCGTGCACCTCGCCCATGATGATCAGGGGCCCGTCCTCCGCCGTCATGTTGGGGCAGGGGCAGCTCCAGTCCATGTCGGTCAAGGTTACTTCCAGGTACTTGATGTTGAAGAACTTGAGGCCCATCTTCTCATCCTTGAGGACGTCCTCGAGAGCGAAGCGGGCTATGCCGGAGTCCTGGTCCTCCACGATCTCCATGAGCCGCCCCACGATGGCGAAGTCGCTGCGGCAGAGGCTCAGCACCATCTTGCTCTTCAGGCGGCAGGCCTTGCACTGCAGGCTCTTGGGGAAGGGGCACACGTCCTCGCAGGTCTCCTTGCTCTCAAAGTTGTTGGTGTTGCCCTCGCAGCCGCCGTAGACGAAGGAGTGGCACTGCTTCAGCAGGTGGTTGTAGGCCCAGCGCGGTTCCCAGTTCTGGCAGGGCCCCTGCACCATGGGCAGGAGGCAGGTGGGGCGGGCGCTGCCCAGGCAGGCGGCTCGGCACTCCTCGTACGTCTCGAAGTGGTTCCTGTTGGCCCCGCAGCCGCCGTAGCGGAAGGTCAGGCAGGAGCCCTGCTTGGCATCAAAATGCCAGCGCACCTCCGTGGCCTCGCACCGCCGCCGGTCCGGCTCCTTCAGGCACTCGGAGCTGGGGAAGGGCTGGGGGCTGCCGGTCCGCGGGGTCCCCCCCGGCTCCCGCCTGAGCACCGACAGCGGGAAGTCGGCGCGGAGCAGCCCGGCGGCGTTCCGTGCCGTGCAGGTGTAGATGCCGGCGTCCTCGTGGCGGGCGTTGTAGATGACCAGCTGGCCGATATTGGTGACCACCACGTTGCCGTACATCTGGTCCGGCCGCATGATGAAGTTCTCCTCCCGCTCGCTCTGCTTCTCCCAGGTGATGTCGGGCTGCGGGCGCCCGCTCACGTCGCAGCGGAAGCTGACGGTGCCGCCGGCGCGCACGGACTGGTGGAAGGGGTTGGTGTAGAGGGCGGGGGGCACCGGCACCTCGGGGCCGGCGCCCGGCGTGGGTCGCGCCGTGGTCTCCTGCGGCACGGGGCTGGTGTCGGGCCAGGTGAAGATGTGCTTGCAGGGCACGGTGGTGAGGCGGGTGCCGCGCAGACACGCCTCGGCGTCCATGTAGCATTTGTTGTAGTAGGTGAGGCCGTCGGAGGCGCAAGTGAAGTTGGGCTCCTTCTCGCAGCGGTCCTTGCACTTGCAGACGGGCTGCCCGTCCCAGATGTCGCAGTCGGAGCCCTGCTGCGCGCACACGAAGCTCTCGCAGGAGGCGGCGGGCGCCAGCGCCAGCGCCGGAACGCTGCCGTCGGCAAAGCGCGCGGCCACGCAGCTCCGCAGCCCACACACGTTGGTGCAGCACTTCTCAAAGTCTTCACAGTCCTGGTCGGGAAGGGAGAACAGATTGCGGGGGGGACGCTGGGGCTGTGGGTGCTGTTCCCACCCCGTGGGACTTTCGGGTGGGCAGGTGTCCCCGGCTCAGCCCTGTGCACCTTCAGCGTCGCTGGGCTGCGGGTAAGAGCCACACCTCCCCGGCACAGCTGCACCAGCCCCAGCCCACCCTCAGCACCCCCAGGATGTTTGGGGGTACACCGCAGGGATGACGGTCCCTTCTCCCCACAGTACAGAGCAACTTGCCCTTCTCAGCTTTTGCTGGCCGAGGGGAGGCGGAATGCATACAGATGAATTGTGAAGGAGTCTCCCCTCGGGGTTCAGACAGCCCTAACCGGGGTGGGGTTGCCCCTGCTCAGCGTGGTGGAGCTCAGATCCAGGGCTCTCTGGGATGGACAACCCCGTCCGTGGGTGGGCTCCGGCCCTCAAGGAAAAGTTGGGAGACGATTTTGTCCTCGGCCTGATGGGGTCCGTGTCCCAGCACACTCATTCCCTTCATCCCAGCCAGCCCTTTGACAGGATGGAAGCATCCTGGGGGTGCACAAGGAGGGTGTTCTGACCATGGGACAAGGTCTGAGGGGGTGACATGAGGGGGCAACAAGCAGTTTCTTTGCCTTTGGTTGACTGGGGAGCCCAGCAGACAGGAGGGGCTTAGGGGGCAAAGCTGCAGCAGGGCTGACCCTGTTGCTCTGAAACAACTGAACCGGCTGTGCCGCCCAGCACAGGACCCACATCCCGAAGCATCTCCTTCGGGGACCTGGGGATGCCCCCCAAGCCCTGTTACCGCCCTCCGCCCCCGCAGCCCCCCCGCTCACCTGGTCGGCCTGGCACTCCCGCTCGCAGGTGCTCTGGGCGTCCACCCACAGGTTGGGGTTCAGCTGGTTGGGGCAGACGCCCAGGTGCCGCATCCTGCCCGGCTGCAGACTCAGCCCGGCCGCCGCCGCCAGCACGGGCAGGAGCAGCGCGATGCCCACGGGGACTCGCTGCCGGCCCGCACGCTGGCCCCGGGCCCCGCGCCCGCCTCTCCCACGAGGAGCCATCGGGCCACCCCGCGCCGCCGGCCTGGCTCACTGGCGAGGGCTCAGGATAAATCACATTCAGGACGGACGGGATGAGGGAGAAGGCGGGCGGGCGGGGGGACAAAGAGTAGGAGGAGAGGACCAAACCTCTGTCCTTCAGCACACCCGGCGCCCGCCGGACCACCGACGATGCCGCCCACCGCCTCCATCCATCGCCGCCGCTCGGCTCTCGGGGCGCCGGGGACACGGCGGCAGCGGCGGGTGGCTCTCGGGGCTCAGTCCATCCCCGGCACGGCCAGCGGGGCGAGTGGGGTGGAAGGGGAGGACGGGAAGGTTGTAATCTGAATCCCCTCCCTTCCCACTGATGTTTCTGGGTGTTTGGAATGGGAAAGGCGCTGACCTCAGCCTCTAACCCCGGCGAGCCCGGCGATCCCTGGGCAAACACGGGGGGAGATCAAAGGCAGAATGCAGAAAGTCTCCAAAGAGGGAGAGTGAAAGGGGGGGCG